CTGGGACCACGGGCCTCCCATCTCCAGGGCCAGGGCTACTAGTCGGCAGCGCCTCGCGTCCAGGAGCTCCAGGTAGGTGGTCTCCTGGCGGCGGCGGGCCTCGCGGAGCCACGCCCCGTCATCGTCTGCCGTGCGTGGGTGGGCCGTGCCTTCCCGGCCGACCAACCTGTGGCGTCCGCGGCCAGCTGCGCCCCGCCCTGCAGCGGCAGGCCGTTGGCGATCACCTCCGGCCGCCTGCCGTCGCCCGCGCCGACGCCGTCGTCCCGCAGGAACTGGTTCTCCACCACTCGCCCCCGCCTCGCGGCACATGTGGGCTGTCGCCTTCTCCAGTGGTGCTTCCCGCTTCTTGGCGGCGTCGGCTGGGGCACGCCGCCCTGTGGTTCCCTCTGCTATCGAGTCGTGCTCTGCACCTGCCCGCGCCTTCCGTGAAGGGTCAGTCAAGGCGCAGGCGGCGCAGGAGGAGGACGCGCATCTCTGAGGGTGGGGCCCGCCTGGGCTTGCTCGTGGGCAAGACCGTGAACGCGCGGCCAGCGCGCGGGCCGTTCTTGCTTGGGGGCGCAGGATGGCGCGCTCTGGGGCGTGCATGCGTTGCATGATGCCCTCCTGGCTCGGTCGTCTCTTGCCCGAACCACCCAGAATGGCCAGCCGTGCGCCCACTCGCCTGTCTCCCTGTCTAGCGTGGGCGGGGGGCGCGCTCCCAGCGCCAGCGCCGTCCAGGTGGGCGTCTCGTAGCCTTCCTGGGCCAGCTGGCGCCGCGCCTCGGTCGCCTGGCGGGGCCCTGGTGGGAGCCCGGCCGCGCCTGTGTCGGGGGCCCAGACGGTGTCCACAGTCAGAGCCTGCGCGCGTTTTTGCAGCATCGGCAGGCAGTTCCTGCCTATGAGGCCCGTCACGCCGCGGGCTCCAGGCGGGCAGCGCTGCGCAAGCCCAAGCCGCCGAGGCAGAGCGGGAGCTGCGCGACTTCCCTGGCCGTCTGTCCTGCGGCTCGCCGGCCCGGGGTGGTGCCCAGGAGGACTTGCTCAATATCTTTGTGTGCGTCCTGCGCACCAGGCCAGCTACACCCGGGAGGGAAAATCCTGATGTCGACGACTGCCACAACACGGTGGTTTCAGTAGCGTCTTCCAGACATTTCCGTAGGGTATCCAAACTGACCGCGCCACGCTTGGTTGGAGTGCCACGCCCCACATACACCACAACTCATTCGACATTCCGATGCTGTGTTTTTCCAAGTGGTGGTGTGCGAACTCCGTGGGTCTTCTTTATTTAGCGCGCTTGGGCAGTTTTTTTTGTATAAAAAAAAACGGAAAAACAAAAAAAAAAAAAACTGTTGACTCCACCTCTCTAGCGTCGAGGCGCTGCAAATGACGCAGACCCTTTGTAATCAATCCACTGTCGGTCTTGTCGGTTGCGATCTTTGCCGCCCGGCGGGGCCACGTCCAGCCTTTCATTGTGTTGCCCTGGAAATACTCCTGCCCGCGATTGGGGGTCCGTGGCTTCGCAGAACCGTGGCAGCCTTGCAGCCAGGTTAGAGCACTGAGCTGCAAAATCTCTGCTCCGTTTATTCATGGGTGGCACCGGCCCGCGAGTTTTGTTTGACAGGCAATTTGCGTGTCCAGCAGTTTCGACAAGTACTTGGCGCCCTGCCTCTGCGAGCTCTTTGTGTCTTTCGTGGGCGTGGGGGCCCCGTGTCGAAAGGTTTGGAAGTTGGAGAACGAAGCAACTGTATTGCAGCTAGTGGTTCAATATTTTCGCGGTCGACCCACAGCGGCAGTCTGGAGCCGCGTGCTGGGGAGTGCCAGCGGCTGTGTGTCCATCGCGTTGAAACGTAGACAGAGCCACCCGTGTCGCCGTTCGTTTCGTTTCGCGTTCGTACGACACCACCGGGTCCTGCGCTGGGCGCCCGCCGGACGCCCGCCGCACGGCCCCGGGCGCGCCACGCCTCACAGCTGCCTCAAGCAGCCACTCGGAGGGAAGACATGGGCGCCGCCAGGTGGTGGTCTCTCACACCCCATCGTGCCCCCACATCTGCAACACCTCCAGACGCCGTCCGCGCCCGACCTGGGCGTACAGCGCAGGTCCTCACCGGGGCAGGGAGGGGTGGGGGGGGACGCTTCTCTCCCCACTGACTCACAGTGGACAGCGCGGAACCGCGAGAAACCGCCCCCCCCCGGCCATGTTGGACACGAGGCGGACGGACAGCCGGGCGGTGCTCGGCCCTTGCGGCCTCTCCCCGCAGAGTGCACATCGTGCGACACGCCTCTTGCGGCGAATCGCAAGCCACCAGCTCCCTCCGAAAACGGAGGAGACGCGCGAGGCGGGAGTGGCAGAGGAGGCACAGCTATGGCACGGCCCGCTCGTGCCCGAATCGGCCCTGTGGTTCTTGCAGGGTGGACCGGGGTAGGCTCCGTCAGACCAGCCAGGGAAAAAGGGCACGACGACGACGACGACGACGACGACGACGAGGACGACGACGACGACGACGACGACGACGACGACGACGACGACGACGACGACGACTACGACGACGACGACGACGACGACGACGACGACGACGACGACGACGACGACGACGATCACAAGTCACCAGCTGCCCCCGCAAACGGTGGAGACGCGCGAGGCTGGGGCGGCGGAGGAGGCGGCGGGGGAGGCGGGGGCGGGACCGGCCAAGCAGCTTGCATCACCGCATTTCCTACCTAACTGACGTGCCCCGGCACGGGCTCGCGAGGGAAGACCCTCGCAGAAGAGGACCTGCAGGGCCAATTCTGGGGCAACGTCTTGGATGCGGGGGCCGTCTCTTGCCAGCCGGTCCTGGTGCACTGCTGTGGCCCAGCGCGTCACGGGGGCATGGTCCACGCCCACGTCCACCGCACCGCACGCACCGCACCGAGGGAGAGTGGCCGGTAGCCCCCTCCTGGCCAAGCACAGAAAGGGGCCAGCAACCCGTCAGATGCGTGACCGCCAACACCCGGTAGTGTTTCCAAAAATATGGGGACGCTTCCCACCCCAGAAGAATCCAGTCTGGGGGAGACGGCCCCGGGCAGAGCTCAGCAAACGAGCGCTGCAGCGAAGGAAATACTACCGATGCTGCCTTTTTGGACGCTTGCTGGTCGTACTCGAGAAACGCCGGGCGGACGACCTGCCAGCGAGACCACCCCAAGAGGGCTCTCCGCCGCTCGGGATGACATCTCGCAGTCTCCAGCTGCTCCCCGACACAAGCTGGTTGCCTATCCAACATCACCGGCGGCGACGGAAGGCGCCCTGCCAGTGCAGTCACAGCGGTGTCCCAGGATGGGGCGTGCATGTTCCGTGACGCCTGGCAGGCCTGGGACGCCGGGTGGTCCAACGGGAGAACGGCGAGCGTAGCTCGCGTCATCAAAGCACGCTCCTCAAACTTCGTGCCCAGCGTCAGCGGCCAACCGCATTGGGCTACTACCACACTGTGACGGACAGGCGGGCCCGTGTGGCAGCCGAGGAGTTTTTGCGGCCCCACTAAACCTGGAGGCGTTTCAGCGCTGCTTCAGCCCCTGCGGCTAGTGCCAGCAGTGGAGAGGCGTAAGAGATAACCGACTTCACGCACGGGGGGACTGGCGCTTCGGTGACTGGGACAGAAAAGCCGCCGCACTTGGCCGCCGGCAGTAAATCTTCAAGACGGCTTCCTCTCGCAAGTGTCTCTTGGAGCAGCGGCGGATAAGTGAGGTCAGCGTTCATTAGGACGCAGAACTGGGGCCCCTGCGGAAAGAGGCGGGGGGGTACCTAGGAGGGGCAGGGCCGCCGTCTTACCCTTCTCGTAATTAAAGCGCCCCTTGACGCGCCGAGCGCAGCGGCTCGGACAACACTGCCCTCACGGCCCCCTTCTGACGGGCAAGGCTTGGCGATGTCATCTACAAACTGCGGGGGGGCTACTTGGTGAGATTCTTAAAACGCCCCGCCACGTCAAGGCGATTGGCCAGCGACGACAGCTCACTCAGGGCCCCGCTCAGGAAGTGCCTCGCCTGCGGCCACGGCGTCGATTCCGCCGCTGCCAGACGCGACGCCTCCCTCACGGCACCGTCGAGCTGGAGCTCCTCCCGCGGTGGGGCGGCGCAGTGCACCGGCGGCGCGTCTTCCACCGCGTCGAGCAAAGCTGCCCGGGCGAATGGCGGAACGATCGTGCGACAGCCCTTTGGGAGCACGTCCGCTCTGTCATTCGCGAGCCAGCGGAGCTGGGTGTTGAAAACATGCGCGGAAAAACGCTTGCCCTGGGCAGTGCCACGTAGCAGCATGAAAACCGGGCTGAGCAGCTCAGGCAAGCAGAGTCACTGGTTATCCTGCGCCATTACGTCGTCTAGGATTAGCCAATCCGGCCCACGCACGCCGGCCTGGAAGACACCTGACAACATGGCCTGGCGCGACGCCACATCAAAAGCCCACTTCCCGTCCGCGAGGGCCCACCAGGTGTAGAGGCCCTGCGTGCGGCGCAGCTGGGCTGGCAGGACCAAGCCCACGACAAGGGTAAGGGCGTCTCCAACGCCACCTTGCTGGCATGACCCACAAAACGCCTCTAGCAGACCGCTTTTCCGAGTAATCCAGAGGGCGTCCTGAACAGACGCCTTCTCCGTGGCGATTGAAATCGGCCGCAAGGCGGACACGGCACGCACGGTGGCCGGGCCACTCTTGCGAAGAGGCGTGATCTGCCGCAGCGACCAGATTCTCGCAGTCACACAGGCGGCGCGTGCCAGGTTCATCAGGGCCTTAGTCAGGCGTATCCCTGCCGGGGCCTCCGCCCGGAGGGCGGCGTAGCAGCCATGCAGCGTGCGTGTGCCTGGTCTTAAAGCCCCCAGCACAGCGATCACTTCCGTGTCCGAATACGGGGGTGACAGAGCAGGCGCGCCCTCCAGGGCACCCGCTTTCGTGATCCTGGCGACCTGTCTCTCCATGTTCTCCGCGGCTTCCGGGTCCTGCTCAAAATCGTTCCTATCGCGCGCGAAAAGATCGCGATGGACGGCCTCAACCATCTCCGAGGGTGGCATCGTGGCCCTTGTGGTCGGGTCTGCCAGCCTCACGTCAAAGCGTTTTCGCACTTGGAAAAAAAACCGAAAGGAGCCGCTCCGCGGCTCCAGGGTTGACCTCCCGGAGAGGCAAAAAAACGGTGGACCGCCCTCCTACGCTCGCCCCACGCAGCCCGTGCTATTTCCATTTTAAATTCTTGGTGCGACGCCAAGCTGGCGGGGTCCAGCAGCTTATGAGCGGTGGCCTGCGGGATCCGTCGTTTGCCCCCCATCACCGTGGTGGCGCCAGCCGCGTGCCCCACCAAGGTGTAGACGGCATCGCGGGCCCATGCCGTAACGTTAACTACCGCGCGCCTTTGCAACCTGCCACCAGCCACCGAACCACTGCGGCCGTAACCACGAGGCGCTCGACCACCTTTTCCACGCACCATTTGAGCGCCTCGAGGGTACTTGAGATTTCCCTGAGGCCCTCGTCCCACGGGGGGCCCGACGTCCAGGCCACTCTACCAAGGCCCGCTGCCCACGGGGCTGTAAACTGGCACGGCACCTCTGCAATGACTAGGCGATGGTCAGATAGAGCAATATAATCAGGCTTAACGTGCAGGGGGGGGGCGACGCCCTCACACCAACAAAAAGGTCGACGCAGGTGCCTGAGACATGCGTCGGCGCGGGGGGATTAAATGCCAGGAGCCCCGCAGCCTCCAGCCATTGCTGGATCTCTTTATCCGCAGAGGACTGCTTACAGTGCGCGCAAGTGCAAAGCTCCGGGTTATCAACCAAGTAATCCAAATGGACGTTCCCGTCCCCCCCGAGAAGCATACGTGCGTGTGGGTACCGGTCCTGGCAGAGCGTCGCATTCGCCACGACGGATCTCCAAGTGTCCGTATCCCCTCCGTGCCTGGGGTAGAAGGCGAAGAAAACTATGGCCGGGGCTTGCGTGGGCCCGTCGCCCCACACCTCAAACCACTGCTCCCTGTTCGAAGGGAGGTCTGGCAGAGGTCGAAGCATGTGTTCGACTTCCGGGCGAAAGAAGATGCCAACAGAGTCCCACGCCGCGGACCGGGCACCGCGGACCGGGCACCACCCCAGCGAGTTTTTTTTATTGTTTTTTTTGTCGGTGGGCTGGGGGCCGAGTCGGAGGGCGAAGCCAGGCTGCGAGCGTCGCCCACGGTGCCAGCGCCATGCGTCCCCCTCTCGTGCAAAATCTACAGGCGCCCTCTGCTGCGGCAAAAGTAATGCACTGGCGTGCCGATTGGGTGCCCGCCCCCAAACAATGTGTGAGGTGTTGCAGAAAAGGGCTCGGGAGAACGGGGGTGCACCCACTTGTTGCTCTGTGCGCGCTGATGTAGATTTTCTAATGCTAGTACGCAAGCTGGTTGCCAGTTGCCCAGCGCGACATTTCTTGCATGCGTTTCGCGCCTGCACTGCCACTTGCCCGACAAGTTGTACTGGTCCCACAGGTTGCGCAAGTTTCACAGTCTCGACGTGTCCCACAGTGCAGACACCTCCCACCGCTTTCACGTACCCAACTGGTCCGACAGGACACTTTGGCTGCTATCTGGGTGCTCTATTGGGGTTCTGGATTTTCAGCTTTGGTCGGACAGTCGTGCATGGGTATATGGGACTGCCCGCACAAGTTGGCGGGACGGCGCCAGCGCACCTAGCTTGCCCTTGGCCTCTCCCTCTCGCCCGTTCCTCGCTCTTGTTCATGTCTTGCTTCCCCTCGGGCCGTGGTCTTTTGCCCTTTAGTCCCTGGCGTCGCCCGCGTGCTCCCCGTATCTACCCGCGATGCTTCTAGTATGCCTCCACCGCCGTCTGATCTTGCATTTTCTTTCCTTCCTTTTTCCGTGGTCCTCCCCCACCTCCTGCCCCTCATGCAGACACCGCTTGCTCTGACATGCCCTAAGCTGCCCTGCCTTGGTGCGCTCCCCCTTGGCATGTCCTCCCCCTCTGGCCGTGTTTTCTTGCCCGACCAGGTGTAGGCCGCCCTTCTGCCCCCTTCCCACCTGCACCCCTCTCTCCCTGGCCGTGTTCGTCGGGCCCTGGCCTTGACGCGGGCCTCCGGCGGGGGTCGGTCTGTGGCCCTGGGGCCTTGCCGGCAGCTGTGCCCCAGAGGTCAGACACATTGATTTTTGGTCGTTGTTCGCTCGTTCGCCGTTTGTACCTGGCCTTCCTGAGCCTTCCCTTTCCTTTTCGTGGAAGTGGGACCCTTTCTATTCGCTCGTAGTTCGGTCATTCGTCTTTTTGGTCGCGCCTCCCTTGCTACTCCTGGGCCGCCACTCCTTGGTGCATGAGGCAGGGCGCGTGCCACTTGTGTTTGCACGTTTGAACATGGCTTTCTGTATCCTGGTTTGTAGTCGAAGCGTTCACCGCGCTGGGTTGAGGAGCCTTTGTGTACTGGGTATCTCTAGGGGTCTCGTGGACGTTCTCTGTTGGCTTTGTAAGCGTGTTCGTGACCCCTTGGAAATGTGTCCTGGGGGCCGTTTCTTCTTCTGCTTCTTCTTCTTCTTCTTCC